TTCTCCGTCCTCTTCCCCGCCATCTTTATGGGTTGTTTACTTTCGCAAAGATTAGCAAAGTCTCTGAATATGCGCTCAAACGCTCATGCATGCCTTGGTAAGTCTTTCCCAACAGGTTTCATCGCTTTTGTTTCCGCTCCCCCCGTCTCGCTTTTAAGTTTATGTGCATGGGAGGGGCCCCTCCCCCGCTCACTTTACTTTCTAGTCCGTGGGGTAGGCAGCTTTCTTTTTGAATTGCAAATACGCCTTAATCCGACTCACAGTTCATTCTCGGTCATACGACCTCGTTTAGCCTCCGTTTTAACCACTCAACCTCCAGCGCTTGTCCCTGTCAGCGTCGCTTCTTCCACTCGGACACTCAGCAGGAGGACCATTGGGACGGAGAAGCGCCTCGATTCCCCAGCATTGCGCTGGCGAAGAGGCGACCTCTCAAAGGTCCCCTGGCTAGCCTTTCAGCCAGGCTCTGTGGGAGGTAGCGATTCCTCACCCCCCCTCCTTTCTGCTGGTGCACAGCTTTCACTCCCCGGGAGGTCCAGGAGGTGAGTCTGCTCGGCGCGTCGCCATAGACCGGAAAATTGTAAGCCATTTTTTTTAAAATTTAAAAAGTGCCAGAACCCATATACAAGGTTGCAGTGATTGCTGCCTATTCTCCATAGGACTTGGGAGAGCCCCACCCCCCAGAAGGTGCTGGTACTCAATACCAGTGAGTATCAATCATCACACACTCAAAAAAAGTCCTGCATAACTCTAACAGACAGCATTCACTGTTTCTTATGTTTGGAAAAATGCAGTGATGAAATGTAGGGTTTCATATTGACAGGCAAAGGTGTACACGACACTATCAACGTAAGCAAATGTGTAGAGAGGTAGTCTTTAACCCACATATTTAAAATGTACACCTTATTTAATTCAAGTCCTGCTTGTCCTGTGAAAATTCATGTGTTATGCTGTTGGTGCTACAAACTGATCAAATATAGAGGAATCTCAGGAAGACACAAAGACCCCGAGCCAATAATCAGAGGCTGGGTTTTACATTCTGATTTGCTAGAACATTTCAGACAGAATTATCTTTCCTTTATCATTGTATTAAAGACAGCAAGAAGTGGATAAAACCTGCAGTTACCTTTTTAAAGATACTCATTATTTTCTGAGACAGATCGAAAAGCTTTAGGTTGCTTCCACACAAAACTTTTGCCCCACTCTGATGACTAAACTGGAGCAGGATCTTTTTTGTTTGTTTGAAGCATCTACTGGATGTTGTCTTTGATTTACCTTACTTCTGGGTTTCACCCCACTTTCTCCTCCATTATTCCCACATTTGGTTTGCTACAGTCTTTTCAGAAAGGTTGCAGTCAAAGCAGGTTGCACACTGTGTAGATGGATGGTGTGTATTTTCAGACCTCCTGCCCACATCAGTGCTCTATCTTATCATCCCACAGCATCCCATGCAGGGCTGCTGAGAGCCACCATCTGCCCCCCCCCCCATTATGACCCTGATCCAAACCAAAATATCATAACAAAATGAACAAATCACTTAGCTTGCTGTTACCATGAATCTACAGTAATAAACGACTTGGCCTGTGTTTCTTTCTTTCTTTACTTTATTTATTTATATCCCACTTTTCTCCCCAATGGGCCCCCAAAGTGGCTTATATCGTTCTCCTCACCTTCATTTTATCCTCACAAGAACCCTGTGAGGTAGGTTAGACTGAGAGTGTGTGACTGGACAAAGGCCACCCAGCAAGCTTCCATGGCATAGTAGGGGTTTGAACCTGGGTTTCCCAGATCCACTTTAACCATGACACCACACTGGCAGGCATAACCCATCAAAATAAAGCCAGGAGACTCAAAACTGGCCACCAGCTTCAGGATGACTGTGGGAGTTCCATGGCCAAAATTGAAAGGCATGGGGAAATCCTACCCCAGGTGAGACAAACCACCACCACACTGTATGCTATTTGCAAGTGAAGCTAAGGGTCTCAGAAGTCAACCCTGACTGTTCCCTGGAAGGCCAGATAATGAAACTGCAGCTCAAATACTTTGGCCACCAAATGAGAAGGGAGCACTCACTGGAGAAGACCCTGATGCTGGGAAAGATTGAAGGTCAAAGAAGACGGGGACGGCAAAGGATGAGATGGTTAGACAGTGTCATAGATGCAACGAACATGAAGTTGAGCAAACTTCAGAGGACGGCGGAAGACAGGAGGGCCTGGCGGGAGATGATCCATGGGGTCGCAAAGAGTCGGACTCGACTGTGCGACTGAACAACAACAACAAAAATAAAGGGAACTAGAACACCCTGAACCAGGCTATCATCAAGACAGACAACATGTAATAAGAAAGCATTTAAGCATCTGTGATGTCTCTAATACTCAGACGCCCAACCCACCATGGAACATTGCTGGGTGATACACTCTGAGTCAGACCTACCTCACGAGGCTATTGTGAGGATAAAATGGAGGACAGGAGAACAATACAGCTTTGGGTCCCCACTGGG